ATTTACGGCCACCTATTTAAGCAAAAACACATTTCACACACCCCACTGTGCCTTATCTGGCTTGTCGTGGAAAATGGATGCGCTTAGCTTTGTGCCGTTGCTTGTTGGTCGTGTTTAAACCATTTGGCTCGTTGCAGCCGGTGAGCTTTGACTGTTTGTAGGGAAGAAATGTGCTCATAAAACTTGTCTACAAACATCTGACGCTTTCTGGCAGAAACGATTAATCGTGATTAATCAGTCACTAGATAATCAATGTAATTTAGAAAGCGATTAATCAGTTAATCATTAACTGGAGCTAGCTGAAGGCCATTTTCTGAAATAAACCCAACATATTCAGAGCTGTAATTAATGATTTCATTTTGAGTCTGACATAAAAACAGTTTTGTTTGTAAATAGGTTTCACCCAGAACTCCTCAAGTCGTAAAGTTTTAGCTTCACCTGGTTCAGATTTACTAAAGAAATGCTATAGTTTGCATTTTAGCCAATGAAATGTTTACATTCTCTTATATTGTTTCAAATACTTGGTTGTTTATGGAAAAAACTGTAAAATCGGATTAATCGCCAGAATAATCGATTATTGAAATAATCGTTACTTGTATATAATAGCCTAAATAAATATTTTAAATGTGTTTTTCTGGGAAGCACACAAAATATTTGCATCTTTTTATTGTATGGAAAAAGACATAAGTCTTTCATAAAAAAATATGTAATGCAGCATTTAAAACAAATCTGATTAATTGTCAGAATAATCGATTAATGATAACTTCAATAATCATTAGTTGCAGCCCTATTTGTGTGTAATAACCTAAATAAATATTTTAAATGTGTTTTTCTGGGAAGTAGATAAAATTGCTTTTTGATGGTTGCACTAACAAGCAGTCATACAACACTGCATCATCTTCATCCAACAATAAAAACATCCAAACGCTCGCTTTCTGAACCAGAGAAAGGAGCTTATTAATCACATCTGGGGCCTGTTGTACTGACTGAGCTCCTCAGAGAGAGATGCTTCATTAATACCAACCCACTAGAAACCAGGCTAACACACACACACACACACACACACACACACTGTAAACTGATCATATATGCGTCAGACGCACGTTAAACGGTGAGAGCGATCATGCAGACACACTCCATACTGCTCTGTCCTAACCTTTGCATGTGCATCGATCTGAGCCTGGCAGGCACTTGTCCATGCATAGAAAATGTCTACGTCGATAATCATCACACACACACACACACACACACACACACACACACATGCAGAGGCAGAAGGGTGTCTGTTTGACTTATTTATTTATTCAGCAGCCGCTTCTGTCCAGGTCAGGTCGTCTCCAGCAGCTTAATGGACACCAGGCTCTGCTGCATGGAAACATTAGCCAGCCTGAGCGCCTCGCTGCGTGTTTTCGGACTGACAGCCGAGAAGCATACACACACATACACACACACTCTCTCACACACACACTCCTGAGGCAGGGGGCGACTCTGAAATGCTCAGGCTGCTCGTCTGCAGCTACCGTTTGATGTTTTTATAGCAACTCCCAACCTCTCCGTGGCGTTCCCCGGCTGACCTCGCAGGATGCTGCAAACCCACACAAACACTCAGTGGGAGGCACAAACACTGGGATAAACCCGAGCACAGAGGAAGTGTCTGATTGGATGAAACCAGAGGAAGTGACCAACTTGGCTTCCTGTTTTGAGGGTGTTGTGTTCCCTGAACGGTAAATGAGGTGTGCCGAGGAAGTGAAAGCTCACAGCTGAAGCCATTATCTCACACACATCACGCTGATGTGTGTTTTGGTTGTTTGTTTTGGAGCCGGATCTGGTTTAATCAATTCCCTTGGAATGAAAAAAAGAGTTGGTTTGGTTTTTAAGCATCACATTGCAGCACACAGAGTTCAAGTCATCAGCTGCGTTTTTGTTGATCGTATAATTGCTCAAATTGGAATTACAAAAATAAACGTGCTTAATGGAAACATGTCAATTTTGATTAAGCGTTTTGTGCCAGGAGGATGTAGTTTTTTGGAATGTATTTCTCAAAACTGCAAATGAAACTTTTTTATCACGAGTCATGTGGTCAACAACTGGATGTTGCTACTGGCAGAGACGATGAAGAAGACGACAGGAAGTGGTATTAGGATGATGATGGACATGTTTATTAACGACGTATCATGTGAACAAACGTGTTCACATGTGATTTTAATTGTGATTCTTCTTTAATGGAAGCACAACAGTTGCAAATTTGTTTTTTTCTTTTTCTTTTTTTTTGACATGTTTGGGTTATCGACAAAGTTTTATGCACATTTGCAATGGAAACACAGCAACCGTTTAAAATTGTCTCCAGTTCGGAAAGGACATAGAATATGGAAAAATAGTTGCATTTCTAGTCTTTATTCCCTATCAAATTCGCATGAAAGATTTATCCACTCAGTTGTTTGTAGTCTTGAAAACTCTGGAATCAGTTGATCAAACTTTGTTTATGTAGCATTTTTGTACAATAAGACAGAGAGAAATTTAACAACTATGGGAATAAATTAGATGATCAAATCAAGTCCAAAGGACAAAACAAGTGAGGGTTGGTGCCTCTGCAACTGTTACTTTGGTAATGGATGAATAACTATCAATTATTCTGGCGATTAATCGATTAATCAGATGGGAAAAAATGGCACATCCTATAATATTCTTCATTTAACCATGTAAATCTTTTTTATACATTATTACAAATACATTTAACAATGAATATGAAGAAAATCAATTTCTTTTTTCAATAAAAAAATATTTTCTCACTTAAAATATTGAAAACTTCCACTTAATATTTATATTTATCTTAAATTCAGCATGTGTACTTGGTTGTACATTTTTGGCTTAATTACTTCTCTAAATATGCTCAACAAATGGCCTTTTTTTATTCTGTTCACTCCAGTTAGCAATTAATCACAATTGATCACTTTTAGCCCGATTAATCGTTTCAGCCTGTGGTTACTGATCTTGGTAACTTTTCTTCAGCTTCTTGTTCTCCATCAATCAATCAATCAAATTTTATTTGTATAGCACATTTCAGCAACAAGGCATTTCAAAGTGCTTTGCAACATTAAAAACAGAAAAACAGAGTCATGTAACAGTGAATAAACAGTAAAAGGAAAAGCCTTTTCTTCTGTTCAGAAAACGTTGTGGTGTTTACCACAGATGCGAGAGGAAGCTGCGGTTTGTGAAAAGCTGAGCACCTGCTTCCATGCAGAGGAAATACACTACAGGAGCTTATGAGAAGTGCAAACCCGTCTGCTTCATTTCTGGGAACAGTTTGGGGTTTTAGGTGTTTGTGTCCTCCTTTAAAATGTAATTCGGTTCAAACTCATGTGTGCAAGCTAAAAGGGAAGTCTGGTTAATTAGCATGATGCAGATCTCAGCAGATTTCAGGGCATAACGTAAATGAAACTTTAACTATCCAGGTGTAAAACGGGGCAGAGTTGCTTGAACTTCCTGCGTTTGATATAATGTAGCAGTAAATGTGGCTCTGAACCTGGAAGCACATTATCAGCCCATCTGTCTCCTGACGTCTGTGTTTGACAGTCGCTCTGCTGCTTGTACAAACCTCCAGGCCAGAACATTATGGAGCCCCTAATGGACCTTTCTAATGGGTTTCAGACAGAGAAAATATAAAACGTATCACTGCAGCGTAGTGCGCAGCCCTGCGTGTTTCACCTTCGGTTCAGTTTTAACAAGAACCTTTATAATCTGAAGCTTTCAGTTATCACTGAGCGTTTTCCCTCCTGGTTTCTTCTGTTCGATCTTTAGTGGGTTAGGCTGATATGAGATGTTTGGGTTTTCTGTTCCAGATGTAAACATGATGATGCTCAGCTGCCGTTCAGCTTATCACCAACAGCGATCTGTGCAGAACAGACACGTTTGAGTCACGTAGATATCAGGAAACACTTAAAAACAGAAGCAGATCGATGATGAATGAAGTTGACATCACTTAAATTATGACCTTCTGCCCTTTCTTTCATAAACTTCAACATTTTATTAGAGAACCTTAGAGCGTGAAATGTTGCTTTTGGGATTTCCCCAATAAACGTTTGAAAGCAACAAGGTGAATATTTACATTTTCTGATCAGATATGGCTTTAATGTACCAGTGATATTTAAGGTAAGGTTATTTTATTTATGTAGCACATGTTCAGGAACAAGGAAGTTCAAAGTGTTTCACATCATAAAACACCAGAATACAGGAACTGATTTCTTAGGCAGACCTGTGCAGATAAACACATGGATGAGTTTCTAGATCTTGTTGAGACATTAATCCTCTCATCCTGGAAATGTTCTTCTGGTGACAGAAGGCCGACTTTGCAACTGTCTTTATGTGGCTCTGAAGGTTCAGGTCAGAGTCCATCACTACTCTTCTCTCTCTTATGAAATGTTTTCCACTTCCTGTTTATCTCTAAAATGACACAGAAATCGCTCCGTTCAGTTAAAATTTGTACATTTCCTTTGACTTTTTAAATTTGCTTTTCACTTTCTTCAACAAATTGGAGTATTTTACCAGTTTGAATGTTAGAAAGCATCCAGCTTCACCCTGTAACTATGAGAGTTTAGCTTCCTCCACACATCTATGTAGAGATGAGTTTGGTGTCCATGAACCGTTCAGTTTCTTGCTCCTCCGATCGTTTAAAAATAAAAACATAAAACAACCAGGCTTGTTTCGGTGCAGCTGTTTCTGTTGAAACTCGGCCCTCTGCTTGCCCCGAGTCGTTTGTGTTTGCAGTTTATTAGCGCGGCTCTCTGGTCTGCAGCCTCTTTGGGAATCTCGGCTGATGGCTTCCTCTGCGACTTCCCTCCCTCTCGCTCTGCGGCCCACGCAGGCCTGCCTCTGCCGCTCTGACACCTGAGCGCGCAGGTTTGGTTACTTTATCTAAAGGAAAGCGGTGGGTGGAAGGAAGCGCGCAGCGGCACATCAGCTCTGGAACAGGCGCGCTCGCTTCACGCCGAGAAGAAGACAAAATGTCAGGGCTGGTTGTGGGAGACAACAGCCGGCGCTGCCATGGAGACCGCTGTGGAGTGCGGCTGCAGAGGATGACTGCCGCGCTCACATTCGCTCAAAATGTCAAAACACCCGAGGTAGGGGTGGAGGAGTCACGCCTGGACCTGATCACTATCAACCTGTTTGCTTTTTTTTTGGTTTTTCTCGCGCTCTGACACAAAACCTGCTGATAACTGAGACCTTTCCAGGAGCCACTGTGACCTTTATTTGTTTTCCAATCATGATCCGTCCTGTTCTGCTTCACACCAACCCGGTTCAGAGGATTTCCCCGCTCAGGGCTCTGCCGCTCCTCTTCACCTTCGTCATAAACAGCATAATAAACACGGCACATGCATATTTCGCAAACGCAGGACCATTAAGGATCCCATTAGACCTCCGTTTGGCTTTGGCACGTCTGATATATTCCCTGCATGTTAACCTGATGCCTAATGGCCAGGCGTTTTCCAATCATGCGCCCTGAAGTCGGTGACGCAGCTTTTAGAAGAGGCTCAAAGGGAAAAGAGACTGAAGGTAAAGTGTCCAGAAGTGTGTTTTATTTATGAAAGCTCTGGTTTTTATTAAGGCTGAAGCAATTAATCGCGATTAATCGATTATTGAAATAATCGTCAACTAATCGATTAATCGTTGACTGGAGTATACAGACTTAAAAAAGGAAATTTGCTTAAAGAATAGCACATTCACGTCGGCAATTAAGTGTAAAATATACAAAAAAAATAGAGATTCTTCATTTAAGATCAGAAAAAACTTTATTTGTAAATATTTTCTACCCAAAACTTCACCCGGTTCATGTTCTGTAAGTAAAATAAAATAAACATTAAGCACCTTTTTCTCTCCTATTATAGTTAGTCCAAATATAATCGACAGATCAGCCTACATTGTATTGATAAGTCCAGCATAAAGCACAGAGCTTTTCACATGTTGATGCTAAAAGCTTTTTTTTTAGCTGCAGGTTCATCATTTGCTACAAATAATCAAGCGTCCACTAAAACAATGATCTGTTATTGTATTTTAGGAAATAAAATGTTTATTTTCTTTTTGTTAAAAGAGGAATTTAATTATTTATTTGACATATTTTAATGTATTCTGTAAACTGCAGAACGTGCCAAGTCTTTTCATGCGATTAATCGTCAGAATAATCAGTAACTAATCGTTAGTTTTTCTGTTTTGAAACTGGTGAGGTTTGTTGAAAATCTTCCCCTTTTTTCCCTCTCTTGTTTTCAAAGCCATCTTACTAATTAGTTGAACATTCGTTTTCCTCTGTAGGCAAATTCCTCATTGTTTTTCTGTGAAGATGCAACACAAGCGTTTGTGTCAAAAGTTGTGCTCCAAATGCACACGGTGTGTATGAACACGCTCACGGCCGCGGGCCTCTGGGCTACCGCAGAAAGAAAAACGCTGCGTCTCCTCCGCTGCGCCTGCTGCCAGTCATCTGATGGCTTCGCTCCGAGCCACTTGAGGCCGCGTTCGCCTCATCAGCAGCTCGCTCGCTTTCTTCCTGTTTTAACCGCAGCAAACTTTCCCGTCGCCGCAGGCCGTGTGAACGGCTGACTGGATCTCTGACTGAACGGCTGCCTGGCTGGCTTTAAAAGGACTCCCAGACTGAGGGCTGGTGTTTGGTGTTCTCTGCTTACAGTAATTGGTAGGATCAGGCTGCTTCAGGAAAAGGGTGGCAGCGCTAGCGTCATTCAGGAATCAGGATTATTTACAGAAAGGAAGGATTGGCTTCTGGAGTGCTGACTGGGAGTTTAAAAGAAGGATTTGATTAAAAAAAAAAGAAAGTTTTCTGACTTGTAATAAAACTTGGCTGAAGTTAAGGGTTCCTGTTTATTCCACTTTTAACTCTAGTTCATTTGTGAAGGTGTGAATGCGCAATTTTCCTCCTGAAAACCCAGGTTTCGGTTTGGTTGAAGTGAACTCTGGCGCGGTTTGAACGCCGAGTGGACTGATCAAAAAGCAGGAAGTGGAGTACAGCGCAAGGCATTGTGGGTAAATGCAACCAAAACAAACTTGAGTCTAGCGCTAGCAAGATAAATTGTTTCTGTTTCTGGTCCTTAACCAACCATACCATACCAACTTTATTTATAAAGCACTTTAAAACAACCACAGCTGATGCAAAGTGCTATACATTAAAACACAACATGACAATAAAAGAAGCAATTCTTACAGTTTAAAAACATACAATTAAAACTAGATCCCGCTGGAGTTGAAAGCCAAGTAAAATAAACGGTTTAAGACGACAAAAGAGAAAAAGAAAAGTCCTACAACCGCTAAAATCTGACGCTACTACAGATTCGTTTACATTTAGTGAAGAAGGAAGCTGCACCCTTGTCTTCTTCAGAGGTTTTCATGGCAAATGTGTTTGTATCTTAAGTGCAGAATGTATAAATATTTTCTGCAGTTTTGTCTTATTTGCTGCTCTACAAATGCAGTTTTTTCAGCAAATTGCCTGTCTTTTTAAGCCTGTGTACTCCAATTAATTAGTTACTATTAGATTATTTCAACAATTGATTAATCGCGATTAATCGATTCAATCCTATATTAGTTTTAACATTTAATTGTATTTTTTTTACTTTTCAAGGTATTTCTTCTTCTGATTTTTTTTCCAGCGAATGGCATTTTTTAGTCTGTATTCTCCAGTTAATGATTAAACGATTACTAAATTAGTTACTGTTATCTCAAAACTGATTAATCACGGTTAATCATGATTGATCTGATTAATCGCTTCAGCCACAGTGTAAATGTTACACAAAGAAAGTGGATTATTTCATGTTCTTTGCTATAAATTTTCAGTAAATATGTGGAACTACGGCTGCAGTCGTCACCAATATCAGTTCTGCAATATTGCAAAAATATCACTTGCTCATAGTAGATTAATGTTTTCATCCAACATGCATTAACACACTGCATGGAAATATGTGGCCAGTTGGATGAACCCCAGAAGTTTTATAAACCCTTAACCTGTAGAATACAAACCTCTCCTCCAGTTTACATCTTACTGAAATCCGATTATTGGCAATAATGGAATTGCTATGGAGCACGTGGCTTCGCTCTGCGCTGCTTAGGGAAGGATGGAACAAGCTAAGTGGGAAAACAGAAATGAAGAAAAACATATTTCCCAGGTTGCCAACTCAGACGTTTCAGCTTATCTCCCCAAACCATGCTCTGCTTTCCATCCGGCCTAATCCAAACCCATCCTCCTGTTTGACCTCCAGGCTTCCCGGTCCCTGAGGGGGAACCAGTATGAGTCTAAAATGTGCTTCTTTAGACGTTTGCAGGAAGGGAATCAAAATCTCAGGTTGAGTCGACTCTGCTTGTTTTGCTCGTTTCCGCCGTTTCCAGCTCTCCTCAGACGGTGTTTCACTTTCTGCGGTACAAGTGCTAACAGAGGAGAAAATAACAGCCTTGGCGAGCGCCAGGAAAATAGGGGTTATGAGTCCGGCAGTAGATAAGAGGAGAAAATGAGAAGGTGAAATGATTGTCGGGGGAGTAACAGCGCAACAAAAGCAGCACTGAAGGATTCAGAGGCAAAGAGCTTAATGTGGAGCTCTTTTCTGATAAGAAAGCGAGTCTGTGAAAAGGAGGCAAACTCGGTGAGACGAGTGCCTGGCGGATTTGTAAAGGCGAACTGCCGGCATCAACCTGTTTGAGCTGAACAAGAGCGAGCAGCTTAACTCTCAGCCGGTGAGGCTGCTGGTGCTGAACTCCAACACTAATCGAGCTTTTCTCCTTCTGTTTTCTCTCCCTGCGCCGGCCGTCCCCCAACATCGACCAACTCCGTCCAGGTAAGAAACTCTGTTTTTCTTCCTCCCCGTTTCTTCCTGTGAGTTTGTGTGAGAGTTTGTGGGAGGTCGGGTGGAGCGTGAGAACCGCCAGGGTGGCAGAGCAAACATTTCCCGGCAAATTAGCAAAACACACAAACACGTTTCAGACACTCGGCGCACGTTTGTAAATGCGTTCCTTTTTAAAAGTGAAGCCGTGACGTATTTTAGGTCTTTAGTTTACCAGTTTTTTGAAGAGGGAAGATCAGCGGACATGCTGCTGCAGTTTCAAGATACCAGTTATTTTTGTTTTCTTTCAGGTCTGCACAATGGAGTTTTGGAGCTATTATTGATAAAATAATTAAAAAAATGGTCACTGATCCAGGAGTAAACCACAAAAAAACTAAATCTTACTAACTTACAAGTGATTTTTTTTAGCAAGATAAGAGCTTGATTTAAGTAAATAACTCATTTCTATTGATGAAAAACTGGGGAAAATGTCTTGTTTGAAGTAATCTGCCGATGGAACTGTAACTTCAATATTAAGGAATTATTTACTTAAATCAAGCTTCCATCTCTTGCTAAAAATCTACTTCTAAGTTAGTTTGTCTTATTTCATGTGTGCTAAGATGTTTGGACTATAAAGTAGACCAAAATTACTTGGTAAGATTTTGTTTTTTCGAGTAATAACTCAAAGTGTGCAGCTTGGATGGCTTTGTTAGCGCCGCTAACACGTTTTCTTTGGAAAACCTTGCAGTAAATCTGGAAACGGCAAAAGCATCCAAATTTATCTACTAAACTCCTATTAATGTTTGTATTGTATAGATTCATATTTATACCTTTTAGTGTTATTTATGCATTTTTTAAATTATTATTATTGTTGGAGCCTTGCAATGAAATTTCGCTCAATATCTACATTTTAAATGTTCAGTTGGATGAAAATAAAGTCTCTGTCTGAATGTCAAACATCTGCACATATTTAAGATTTATCTGTGTGTCATTTAGGATCTAATAAGGAAAATCTCATCATATGTAAAACTTTTTAAATAATTGGGATTGAGTTGATTAAATTTAACACATTCATGTTATTTTTAGATGCAGAACTCCAACATTCACAGGTTATAAAAGGGATTGTGTTTCAGATTTTCTGAGCTTAAAGTGAGCGTAGCTTCC